GGTTAAAAGAATACACCTCCACCAAACCAAACCATCATTGCAAGATATGCTAAAGGGACTGCTTTAAGAAGATGAAAAAAAAGAGTGAGAAAGAGAGGAACATAGGTACAAAGGGAACAAATGAATAAGTACCTATCAATAATAACTTTATATGTAAATGGATTAAATGCTTCAATCAAAAGACTTAGGGTAGCCGAATGAATAAGAAAACATGACCCACACATATGCTGCCTACAAGAGACCCATCTAAGAACAAAGGGCCTACACTAACTGAAAGTAGAGGGATGGAAAAAAATATTCTAAGCCAAATGACAGGGAAAAAAAGGAAGAGTAGCAACACTAATATCAGACAAAATAGATTTCAAAACAAAGGTCATGAAAAGAGACCCAGAAAAACACTTCATAATACTTGAAAGAAGAATCCATTAAGAACACATAAACATTGTAAATCTATATGCACCTAACATAGGAGCACCCAAATATATAAGGAAAATCCAGGAGGACTTCAAGAAAGATAGAAAGAGGAACACATTAATAGTACAGGATTTTAATACCCCACTGTCAACAATGGATAGATCTTCCAAACAAAATATCAACAAGGATATTGTGGAACTGAGTGACACATTAGATCAAATGGACTTAACTGATTATATATATATATAAAACCTTTCATCTCAAAGAAGAAAAGTACACATTCTTTTCAAATGCACATGGGACATTTTCAAAGATAGACCACATGATAGGACACAAGACAGGCCTCAACAAATTCAAGAAAACTGAAAGCATAGCAAGCATTTTCTCGGACCACAAGGGCTTGAAACTAGAAACCAACCTCAAGGAAAAATCTCAAAAACATTCAAACTCATGGAGACTGAATAGCATGCTATTAAACAATGAATGGGTCAATAATGAGATCAAAGAAGAAATCAACAAGCATCTGGAAACAAATGAAAATGAACATATAACAGTCCAAAATCTATGGGACACAGTGAAGGCAGTCCTGAGAGGGATTCACAGCAATACAGGCCATACCTTTGGAGGGATTTGATCTCCAAAATATGTAAAGAACTCACACAACTCCCCTCCAAGAAGATAAACAATCCAATTAAAAAATGGGCAAATGACCTGAACAGACACTTCTCCAAGGAGGAGATACAGAGAGCCCAGAGACATATGAAAGGAGGCTCATCATCACCAGCCATCAGAGAAATGCAAATGAAAACCACACTGAGATATCACTTCACACAGGTCAGAACGGCCATCATAAACAGATCAACAAACAACAGGTGCTGGCGAGGCTGTGGAGAAAAGGGAACCCTAGTACACTGTTGGTGGGAATGCAGACTGGTGCAGCCACTGTGAAAAACACTGTGGAATTTCCTCAAAAAGCTAAAAATGGAACTGCCTTTTGATTCAGTCATTTCACTGCTGGGATTATACCCTAAGAATCCCAAAATACCAATTCAAAAGAAGTTATGTACCCCAATGTTCACAGCAGCACAATTTACAATAGCCAAATGCTAGAAGCAACCTAAGTGCCCATCAGTAAATGAGTGGATCAGAAAACTTTGGTACCTTTGCACAATGGAATACTATGCAGCAGAAAGAAAGGTAGAGCTACTACCCTTTGCAGCAGCATGGATGAAACTGGATAACATTATGCTGAGTGAAATAAGCCAGGTGGTGAAAGACAAATATCCTATGATCTCACCTATAAGTGGAACCTAATGAAAGAAACAAACAAGCAAGGAAAATATAACCAGCAACATTGAAAGAAAAAAGAAACCAACAGAATCAAGAGGGAAGGAAGGAGCGGGGCTGGGAAAGGGAAGGGAAGGGTCAAGTCAAGGAACATATATAAAGGACCCATGGATAAAGCCAAAGTGAGAAAGGATTGAGGGAGGGAGGAGGGGAGTGGGGTATGGGATTCCTTGCTTGTTGGTGGTGGGAAAATGGAGACAAATGTATTTGAATGATAATAAAGTAAGATAAAAGTAAAAAACAAATCAGGAAAATAATCCCATTTGCTATAGCAATAAGAAAAATAATGTACCTTGGAATAAACGTAACCAAAGCAGTGAAAGACCTATATGCAGAAAACTACACAACACTGAAGAAAGAAATTAAGGAAGACAAATAAATAGAAGTACATACCATATTCATGGATTGGAAGAATTTACATCATCAGAATATCCATACTACCTAAAGCAATTTATAGATTCTATGCAATCCCTTTTAAAATACCAATGACATAGTTCACAGATATAGAACAAACATTTCAAAAATTTAAATGGAACCATAAACAACCCCTAATAGCTGAAGCAATTTTGAGAATGATGTACAAAGTAGGGAGGATCACAATACCTGACATCAAACTATATTACAAGGCCACTGTAATCAAAACAGTCTGGTACTGGCATAAGAATAGACACACAGATCAATGAAACAGGAGAGCCCAGCAATAAACCCATATCTCTATGGTCAATTAATATTTGACCAAGAGGTCAGAAGTATAAAATGGAGTAAAAATAACCTCTTCAACAAATGGCATTGGGAGATCTGGACAGCAACATGCAAAAAATTGAAATTTGGCCACCTACTTACACCATACACAAAAATAAACTCAAGGTCAATAAAAGACTTAAATGTAAGTTGCAACACCATAAAAGTCCTAGAGGAGAACATAGGGAGGAAACTCTCAGATATTCCATGTAGCAATATTTTGACCAATATGTCCCCTAGAGCAAGGGACATAAAGTAAAGAATAAATAAGTGGGACTTTATCAAAATTAGAAGGTTCTGCATGGCTAAAGAAAACATCAGCAAAATGAAAAGGGAACCAACCGTATGAGAAAATATATTTGCCAATGATACTTCAGACAAGAGTTTGATCTCCAAAATTTATAAAGAACTCACACAACTCCACTCCAAGAAGACAATCCAATTAAAAAGTGGGCAAACGACCTGAACAGACACTTCTCCAAGGAGGACATACAGAGGACCCAGAGACGTATGAAAGGATGTTCAGCAGCACTAGTGTCAGAGAAATGCAAATGAAAACCACAATGAGATACCACTTCACACAGGTCAGAATGGCCATCATAAACAAATCCAGAAACAACAAGTGCTAGCAAAGTTGTGGAGTAAAGGGAACCCTAGTACACTGTTGGTGAGAAGGCATACTGGTGCAGCCACTGTGGAAAACAGTTTGGAATTTCCTCAAAAAGCTAAAAATGGAACTGCCTTTTGACCCAGCCATTCCACTGCTGGGATTATACCCTAAGAATCCCAAAACAGCAATTCAAAAAAACCTGTGCACCCCAATGTTCACAGCAACACAATTTACAATAGCTAAATATTGGAAGCAACCTAAGTGCCCATCAATGAATGAGTGGATCAAAAACTATGGTACATTTACACAATGGAATACTACACAGCAGAAAGAAAGAAGGAACTCCTACTCTTCACAACAGCATGGATGGAACTGGAGAGCATTATGCTGAATGAAATAAGCCAAGGGTTGAAAAGCAAATGCCATGTGATCCCACCTATAAATGGAACCTAATCAACAAAATAAACAAGCAGGAAAAATATAACCAGTAACATTGAAAGAAAAAAACAAACCAACAGTAACCAAATGGGAAAAGGGAGAGGTGTAATGGAGAAAAGAAGGGGAAGGGTCAAGTCAAGGAACATGTATGAAGGACCCATGGACAAAGCTCAGTGGGGAAAGAGTGTGGGTGGAAGGTGGGGTGGGTAGGGCAAGGGAGAGTGGTGGCAGGAAAATAGAGACAACTTGAACAATTAAAAAAAAGTAAAAATAAAAATAAAAGAGTAAAACTGTTTTCTATCAAAAAATAATAAAACTTCACTATTTATAATATAAAGAAATATAATAGCTTACTTTAGTAGTATGTGAATTTATTTATACTAACTATAAGATAAAAAGATGAGTCAAAATTTCCAGCATGCTATTTTAAGCCATTTGTCATGGTATTCAGAAACTTTTGCTCATTTAAAATTTTTTTTAACTGAACTTTTCCCAGTGTATTAAATTATCAAATATTCCTAAGCCTATGGACAAAAGCAAGTGATAACAGTCTCTTTTTATGTATCAATCGAATTGTCACCTAATAAATTTTCTTGACCATTATCTCAAAAGTTTAAAAGTATCTATTTGAAATTAAACTGTAAAGACATGACATTTTTAAATTCAGCTTTTATAAGAAATGGATTTCTTGTGTTCTATCTCAATTTTTTTTAAAAAGAAAACAATCAAAACAATATAACACTCCTGTGTGTGTTTATGGAGTGGCCCAGAATACGGAATTCGAAGACATTAAAACATATTTATAGAGCATAAAATGTAGAAATAATGACAATCTCTTTCTCCAAGAATCAATTCCAGAATCAGAGTATCTGAGTACTTTCTATGTGTTCAGCCCAGTGTCAGGATCCATAAAGAATGCTTTAAAATAATGCACATTTATTTTTTCTTATTAAATGATAAAATTATTGGGAAAAAATTAATCCAGACCTTGATTAAAAACTCCAACTAAACAAACTGAAAAAGAAATGAAGGGAAAAAGTACCACTTGTTTGACAGGGTGTAAATTAGGTAAAATGTAAGAAGACATGAGATGAAACCAGTAACAAAATATTTATCTGAGAGATAGTTTCAAGATGCAAAATCTAAAACATGTTATAATTTTGGTTTATTTAATGGTTTCTTCAGTTAGTAATGTAGCAATCAATTAGATACTCTGCAAGTGGAATAATATTTAAATTAACCTATTATACAGACTCAGGACACTGCTAACTAAATTTCATATGGAAAAAATAATGACTGTATAACAGCAACTTGAAATACATATGTTCAGTATGGATCCTAGTCTACAATAATGGTGTTATGAATGGATTCTATGAACAGATCACTCCAGGCTACTGAGATTCCTTTACTGAACCCAGGTCTAATAAAGCAAGCAATGTTGAAATCTCACCCTCTGGCCAGGACTTATTGAGAAGGAAATGTTCTCTAATATGGCATTCCCACTGTCTGTGTATTTTGCTGTGAGGTTTTTGACGGTCATTTGGCCCCCAAAGGGCCAGAAGTCATCTTTCTTCACATGCTGATTCTCAATAATCATAACTTTCGAGATCTGGTCATCCTTGGAAGGTTTAATCAACTTAGTAGATTTACTTTCTTCTGTTGGCATGTCTATAAACTTAAAGACGCGGCTCACAGATCGCATCTGAAATGAAAATAACAATATTTTATTTTTGTTTGTTTTAGAGCTGCAGACAATATCATAACTAGTTTGATGTTTCCTAAAAAATAACTTGCAGGATGTAACACTAGCTTACTCATCACTTGCTTATTTGTGATAAAGTTTTTCAATGAAATCATAGGAAATTGCATATAATTAAAAGTTTAACCAAAGAGAATTAACTAGGAGTACTTTTTGCCCTGCATAATGCATGCCCACTTTTTTGTGCACATTATACATGGGATTATTATACTGATATTTACACCCATGGAACATAATCATTATACTCATGTATAATGTGCATCCTTATTTTTCCCATCAAAAATCTGGACAAAAGGTATGTATTGTACATGAAAAAATATAGTATATAAATGGGCTTTGGATAGACCTGTTTATTTCTGTGATCACTTAATTCTCAGTTATGCAAGCTACCCATAAACAGAAAAACTATACTCAAGGGATCAGATGATGACAAGGGGAAAACTTTTTATACTATGAGCAGCACTGCACAATGTGGTATATCATAATAAAATGTTCTATACCTCAAAACTACCATGGAAGATTCTTGCCTTTCTCTTGAATTGCCTTATTAACTCTCTATAATTCTTTATGTCAGCTGGGTAGTAAGTAAACTCTTGATATTTAGTAAATATTGAATAATTTCACAATATTCTTCAAACAAATTTAAGTCATTGGTACACATCTGTAGTTAAATAATTACATTTTAATCATTTTAAAGATCAATTTCTATTGCTGAGAAAAATGTGTGTACAAGGGTTGTATTTGAAATTAAATATGCATCTGCTTTACAAACTTATTCATATAACACTTAATAAATATCTTTAAATAAAAATAAAGAGGTCAACTATAAACAATTATGATTTATTAGAATTTGGAGTATAATTTTTAAAGTAGTGTGACATAAAAAGGCACCCAATAATTATATTTGAAAAATTAATTAAGAAATAAATATGTGAATGATTAAATATACTCATATATGAATGCATAAGAAGAAAGAATTACAGCCTTTGCATTCACTCAATTTCTAATTTCAAAAGATATCATCCTTAATCCTGTGACTCAATCTTTCTCAGGAATTACTAGCTTAGTGGGCAGAAATTTCCTACTTTTTCTTGCTTAACAGTAACGGTTGATTCTGGTTTTACTCAGTCAAAAATGTATCCTTCTCTTTTACAATGTTAATGTATTATTTTATTTATAGTTAAGATTTAGATTATTAGAAATAATACTTTTGCAAGAAATGTTGGAAGAAATGCATTTGTGGCATTTGCTTCTATTATTTCTATTTTTCATTGTCAAAATTGACAGGGAAAAATACTTTATCTTGAAAAATTCTTTATCTGTGAAGTGATTGGTGGAGGAGGTTGAGGAATTTAGATACTGATCCTTAATGGAACATTAAAAGGTCCAGCTTAGCACATCTAATTGTGTGGTCTGTTTCTCCATGCCATTGATGGAGCCTGTTGTATGTGAAGTTCCTGGTTTTACCTAGTAGTTCTGTGCTTCAGTTTCCTTCATCTTGGAATTATCCTCAACAATTGTTTCATATTCAAGAAGAAAATCCTTTTAAGCCAAACCCACTGTTAATGGAAATAAAAAGTATCCAAAGGCCACATCCACCTTATAATTCTAGGGGATGTGAAAGGCATATAATCATTATTGCTCCCACATGTAATATTTAAAAATTACAAGTTATGGGTGACTTTCAATGGTTGTTAAATCCCAATTCAGTTACTTTTTTAAAATTTTTATTTTTTGTTCAAATACATTTGCCTCCACCTTCCCACCACCACCAAGTCAGTTACTTTTATTAACTTTGAATTAAAGTATATTTTTGCATTTCACTGTCATTAATTTTCACAGGAAGCTGCTAGCCTATTTAAGGTCTGGAAGGTAAATTAGAATTATAACTACTACTGAGATGGAACCACCAGAAAAGTATCTCAAATACATTTCAAATATTGTATTGTACTTATGCTGCATGAGAATAACATCACTCTCTTGAAATGAGAAATTGAGAGAAGTGTACTTGAGACTGTTGACATTTCTACATGTCAGTGCTATGAAGAACTCAAAATTTGTCTTTGTTAAGTGCTTTAGAATCCCAAGGAAAACAGTATATAACAAAAATCCCTCGTATATAACACTTCCATACAATCAATAAAACATTTGAGTATTGCTTACCTAAACAACTCAAAATTATGCGCAGTGTTATTACAAAATAACATCCAAAACTACTATTTTGGCACACTGAAATGTAATATGTAATATTTTGTATAAGAATTTGTGTTTGAACACAGCAATTACATTTTCTATTAGTGAGGTTCACCCCTGAAGGGTAAATCCAGAACTTCCAATGTCTAATGTAGCAAATAGAACATACTTACCAAATTTAGAAAATAAAATTTTCAAATTAACATCTTTCATACTGCTTAGTTGCTTAAATTCTGGCCACAGGACAGACTATTAGAGTTACCCACAACATGACTTGGTTACCGTGACCTGATCAAGACCAAGTTCATTTTAACAGTGGGCACTCACTCACAGCATATGTGCAGACATTCATTCAATTCAATGGGATAGAACATTTTCTGACGGGAGGTAAAGGTGACAAGAGCAGACACTTGCATGATGGTCAGGTTTGCAGCTACTGAAATGCCATTACGGAACAGATAATGTGGCCAGATAATATTATTAATTACTAACTAATGCCTTGTACGTCGCAGGGTCTCCAATCTGCACACTCTACTTCCAGTACCTTTTGAAGGAGAAGTCACATCAGAACAAGAGCACAGAAAATTAATTCTGGTCTTTCAAGTTTCCAAAAATGGCTTTTGGAGTCAGGGATTGATAGTTTGATAAATTAAAGCCACATGAATATTGGCTTTTAAGCTTCAAAAGCCAAACCTGAAGAACTGAAATCAGTGTTTACACAAAAACAGTAGCCACCGATTAACTTCTATGGAAGAAAAACAGCTCCTTTCCTCACTCTACAATCTGATTCATGAATGGATAACTAGAGGGCTGAGACACCAGTTTCTCTAAAAAGGAGTTTTGCCTTGCAACCAAACTGTGGTTTCATCCTCAAGCAGATTTGGGGGATTTTAGAAAATAGGAGGCCTGTGCCTCAATTCCAAGGTGGGACTCAGGAAACAGGTATGCCTTAGAGAAGCTTCCAGTGCCTGGCATGGCATGGGAGCCATGGAGTGGACATGATTGCTTGGCATGCCTAGACACAGATGACAGCTTCTGATTTCCCTGTATCTACAGCATGGTGCTGAAGAGAAGCCAAAGAATCCCAGTCCTATGATTCCTTGGGGTATTCCATGCCTCAGGTACATGAAAGAACCTGAGGGAGAGTCCATCAAAGGAGAGATCACAATCAGGACAAGGACAGAGATTCAATCCAACTGTACTCTACACCTCTAGAAACCTCAATGCTTCAGAGACAGTAAACACAACAGAGGGTAACCTAGGGCCCGGTGCCCCTTCACCTGGTATCTTGGCATTTTGAAAACTCCACTCAGAACTTACATTCACTCCTGGCAAGATCTCTGAGATCGTTTCTTTCACTCAGTAGAACACTTATTCAAGTGGAAAATAAATTTGACTATAGCAAAAGCAGACATTTTTTGAACATTTGTTTTTTGCAGCCTAAGATTCAGAGCTGTGATCAGAGATGACCCCAAGTTTTGTGCAACCAGAAACTTAAACAATTTGAGGGACTCATCTTTACAAAAGAATCAAGCCCTGCCAGTGCTGCTGAGGTGGTTGAAGCATTGTCTCATGGGTCACAGGTTCAATTCCCAGTCAGGGCACATGCCTAGCTATGGGTTCAGTCTTTGCCGGACGTGTAGAAGAGGCAGCCAATTGATGTTTCTCTCTCGCACCAACATTTCTTTCCCTCTCTCTCTCCCTTCTTCCCACATCTCAAATAAATAATCATGTCTTCAATAAAAAAGGAATCAAAATTATGCATATATAATTATCACAGGGCCTTTGATGGGAGAAGACCTGTAGCTCGTTTCAGGGGTTTCATGTTGAACCCATTGTGTCTATGATAGCAACATTATTCAAAGCATTCCTCTATTCTCCCAATCTAATTATTAGCTTAAAAAAACTCTGTTAATCATAAATGAATCCATTTTTCCATCTAACATGCAGAAAGCATTGTCTGTTTAAGGAGAATAGCAGTGTGGTGAGTAGCTTAGCAGGTAAACCAGGCTGTATTGTAACCCTGAGTTTCTCATCCTGAAAATATACATTGCTATTTGGATTAGAAGTTGCAACATGCCAAACTATTTTTCGTCTCAACCATTTGTTTTCATTGAGTTTTTTAACCTAACTTAATCCTTTCTCTAAATTAGAATGTCTACTAAACATTTTCACATGACATGTGAAAAACATCTGTGCCATTGTCCAGCTGTCTAGGATGAACTAGATGGAAATTCAGATCTGGAAGTTATCAGAGTGACTATAAACTGGCAAACTCCTAACCTTAAGATGTTGCTTCTTGTGTGTAGAAAAGGGCTGTCCAAGGAGGAGTGATGGGCAGTTCTGTCTGACCCACTGACAGCAGGGTCTTTTTTGCAGCCATCCCCAGTTGTGGTGGGAACCCTTGGCTTACATAATGAGAAGTAAATATTCATCATTTAGCCAAAAGCGACTCAGACACAGACACATTGAACCCATTCTTTATGTGAAAAGAAAAATGACATAGTCTGTACAGAGTTCTATAAAATTGGAGTTTAGCCAAAACAAAGTGATTTTTGTTTGCATCTGCTTTAAATTTTTCATTTTATTATTTAAATTTGCTATGCTCAAAAATTCTCCTGACTCAATCTTTAAAACTGAGTCCCATTTGTCTTTATAGTAACATTTAAAGTTACTAATCTAAGCACACGAGAACAAAGTCTTTTGGAAGTGTGATGGGTTCTTTTAATTATTATTATTGTTGTTCAGTT